GTTGTGCAGACAGCTCGAAATAGTATTGTAGGGTGGGGCAAGGATATGCAGTTAAATACGCACTTTCCAATGTTGTCAATGCAAGCTCGAGATCAGAAATAAGGACAGTTGGGAGCGTGATGCTCCTGTTGACAATGACCTTCTGAGAACCCCTGTAAAGAAAGTCCTCAATTCAAGTGTACTATGGCCAGCGGCTACTCGGGAAGCTGAGAAAGTTGGGAAAATGAGTACTGCATGAGCTGACTGAGCTGCAGCAGATCTGCGTTTAGTGGTCTCATCGCAGCTCGCTTTACTTGACAAAAAATGACTATGTAGCTTCTGAAGCACTGTGGCTTTGAAAACCGAGGCAAGGTGGAGAAGACCTTCGACACTTTCCGCCGGCTTCTATTTTTTGACTTCCCATATTAGCTCAACTTGCTTATAGTTGAGGAAGATATAAGTCCCCAACGGTTTTGGAAATGACTGGAAATGTTGACTCTCAACTAACGATAGGATGTATTGCATTGAAGGTGTAGGTGAAAAACCTGCATAACTTTCTGGGCAATCTAATAGTACGACTTGCCTTCCTTGGCCTACTTCGTTATTCGATGTCTAACATTGAGCAAATTAGCATTATTTTATTGTAAAAAAGTTTCTTAAATGGTGTACAAATCGATACAACATTCTTTTTTAGCCCCAGGACTTTCCACCTTCAGGTGTGTGGGATTTGGACACCATCAAATGAAAAATGGTAGTAGGTCGTTTGATTTACATATCTGGAGCTTGATTTTCCGTATCAATAAAAATGGCTGTTCGAAACTCGTAGTGGAAAAACGACACTCACTGTGAGTGTCCTGTTACCTATTATGAGTAGAAAAAAGTTCAACGCGATTTTGGTATCTGAGGATTGTGTGGGGTGGCGACCCATTAAGTGCCAAAGGCACATATAGTCTCTATTCGGAGAACGAGAAGAGCGTCGAGTGCAGACCACACACCACAAGTGACGACGGCCAAGAAAAAGAGAAAAAAGCCACTTTTTCTTGGCCGTCGTCACTTGTGGTGTGTGGTCTGCACTCGACGCTCTTCTCGCTTCCCATCGAAGGGTACGGTAGATTATAGTGCTACATATTAACACGTTGACGACATCGCGCGTTTTGGCATTTTTGGCCGCGTGGGACCAGAGCGGTTCTGCGAGCGCCGCCGCCTCACAACAAATCTGTGGATTTTGAGCTTTAAATACGCAATACTTCGATGCGACAAAATGTTTTCACTGATATTCGGTGTGTCAAACTTATTGGAAGGTACACATGTGAAAGTGCGGTCGAATGATGTGTTACAGCATTGAAAAGGCAAGTTTCACTTACTTTTGCTTTAGTGATTTCAAAATTATTTTGGACGTGGTTGTTTCGGTAAAAACACATATCTTGCCACACGAGTAGCTTTGTACTCACTTCTAATATTCTTTTTTATCTACATGTTCGTGTTAATGAAGAGAAAATGAGGAATGAACTGAACGGATATTTTCGTCCGGTCCGAAAAACCTCTGCCAAACTAAAGAATATTTGGTCATTCTATAAGCCGCGTGGTTCTTGGTTATGTTGTGGTATGGCCTAAAAAATGAACACAAAAAACCTGGGAAGAAATGGCGCGTTCAAGAAAAAACTGAATGTAAAGGGTGTGGCAACTATAGTTGCCACAATGTCCATTGCGGCGTGCAAAACGCGGCAAACCTAGTTGCCGCGCTGTCGTCAAGGTGTTAATGGTGCTACATATTAATGCCACCACGGGTGAAAGGATTGAATGGCTTTTGCGCAGTTCGTGAGGCGCGGCGGACCCTGATTCTGCCGCCGCATATCCGATTTTAAGCTTTCGCTGCTCATCCTCTTTCATCATACCTTTCGTATAAAAAAAGGCATACAAGTGGATGAACTGAAAGTTGAAAACGAAAGAGGACAATCGCCTTCCTCTTGCACAGCTGGAGCAGTAACCAGCCAGAGACCCACCCCCTAGCCACGAGCAAGCCATAGAAGAATCAAGATGAAATTTACTTTTGTAAAAATAATTTATAGAATCAGGGCTTTAAGCATGACTTTGACAATGCGAATGAGCATTTCGTAGCTTATTATTCACTTTCACTGGTGGGAGATGATTCGCGCAGCCACTCACTTGCTTTCCGGGATGTTGTGTGGGCGGGTAGTAGCGGTCGGCGATACCAGTTATTCTCGATCTCACTTGTTCTGGTCATCATACGAGTATAAAAGCCGATCATTAGACGGTTGTGAATCGTCATCGCCCCACGATGGAACTGAAGGAGACCGAGGAGCAGCTCCAGATGCGCCGCGTCGCGTTTTTCGCGATCGTCATCTCGACCGCGGCCGTCATCGTCAGTGTTGTCACGTTGCCTATGCTCTACAGTTATGTACAGTCCTTCCAAAGTCATCTCATCGTCGAGACCGAGTTTTGCAAGGTAACCCTTTTCTTGCATTTTTTGACAACTTTTATTTTTGGGCTATTTAGCAGTCAGTCCTATTATTGAAGATGTATCGAGCAGTTGGTCGATAATCCAAGGGTTAAAAGTGATGGTAGCGCTACATTGTAGCATTTTTGTGAAGAATTGAGATTCCGCTCAGAAAATTCCTTATATCTACAACAGCAGCTGTTTTCAGAGTCGAGCCAGGGACATGTGGGTGGAGATGCAGGTGTTGCATAAGTCTGGTGTTCCGCGATCCAAAAGAGAAGCCGCTGGCACGTGGTTGTTCGGACAGTTCGTACCAGATGGAGGAGCTGGTGGTGGTGGACAATATGTTGGAGGACCAACTGGAGGTGGAGGTGGCGGAAGTGGCGGAAGTGGCGGAAGTGGCGGAAGTGGTGGAAGTGGAGCTGGAGCAGGAGGCGGAGGCGGAGGTGGAGGTGGCGTTCCCTTCGCTAACGCACCCAACGGAGGTCCTTTGGGAAATATCGGTTTTGCTGGTGCTGGAGCAAGTTCCATTGACATCGGACCAACATGCTGTCCTTGCCAACAAGGTACGGTTCAAATTTGTACTGTTCATTTATAAACTTCACATCTGTATTTCAGGACCTGCTGGTCCACCTGGCCCGCCTGGAGACGACGGACATCCAGGAAACGACGGCCAAGGTGGCGCACACGGGCATCCAGGAAAGGAAGGTTCCATACTTCTATCTGCTCTTCCCCCAGCAGAGCCATGCATTATCTGTCCAGCAGGACCACCAGGTGCAACAGGAATGCAGGGACCAAAAGGACCACCTGGACCTAAGGGCAAATCCCAAGAGCGCGCTCCTGATGGAAAACAGGGAGAGCCAGGAATGATGGGACCACCAGGACCACCTGGAATTGTCGGAGAACTTCGGACCCCAGTTACCGCTAAGGACAACATGGACGGTGTATCAGGTCAACGGACCCGCTGGCCCTGCCGGTCAACAAGGAGCTAAAGGACCTCCTGGACCTAAGGGAGTTCCTGGAATCCCCGGCGTTAATGAAGTTGGAGAACAGGGACCTGTCGGTGCTACCGGAAATCCAGGACCACCCGGTGACTGGCACAAGGGACACAGGACAATGGACATTCGTAAGTTTCACAAAACTTAACTTTCAATAGTTCACTGCCTCTTCTTGATGCAACTCGCTCATTGGACGTTATTGCGTTTTCAGGGAGAAGAAGGTTGCATTCGCGATCACTGCCTGAGCCCGCTTACCACCACCTGGCTATTAACATAGCGGAGTGGAGGGCTAGAGGGATTCACACCCCTCAACTGCTGCTCAAATCTCTGCCGCCGGCTCGTCCGGTGTTCTTTAATGCTGCATGCATGTACTCTTCAAGATCACGATCACGACAAGAATAATAATAAATCACGTTGCTTCGTTCAGCATTTCACTGCAAAAACTGAAATATTGTTGCTGGTTATCGCAAGAACACTTGAGTTGTAGGCAAAACTTTCGCTCCAGTCTGGATTCTCACCCGGACTCTTGGTTTCGGGGCAAAATCAGATAACTAGGTTTTTATTGGATAACTGCTGCGTAAACCAGCAGTTATCCAATAAAAACAAGTATAAAATTGTGGCTAGTCTTTCGGCAGCGCACGTCCTTCTGACTAGGGAGTTTGTGGCGTTAGAGTGGTGGTAACCTTGAAGTGACTGTTGAAGGTTGATTTTGTTTGCATTGATCGAAGGTAGTGATAACGTTGGCTGGAGAGCTAACCGATTTTGGAGACGTCATTGAGCATGGCCGGTGAAACGGGGTTGGGAGCAGGTCAAACGTGACGTTCGCACATTTTCAAAAATTTCACGATCCCCCTCCTTAAAGGGGGTCCCTCGATGCGGGACCCCACCACCATGAGACTCACGAGGCTCCTCCTACATATACGATGCCCCTTTCCCTTTCTCCGACCACCACCCTCACCATCACGGGTGTTTCCATAGCATTCGATTCTGAGACCAGTCGAACACAGCCCAACTTCGCCCACCTCTTCTCAGAAAAGGCGTCGACGGGGTCAAATGAAACAGCAAATACTCTCTACTATTCTCCACTACTACTGATCCCACTCAACCACTGATGCGACCTCCCCCTCACCCAAAACCAAACGCAAATGCGACCCCATCGTTCGAACAGTGCGAACGCTACGGTTGTGACTCTGGCTTGGGGACGGTAGCGGCAACCCACCACTGAGCGTGCATGAGTGACCATGGACCACCAATTACACACCCAGTGACGTTATCCGAATCTTTCCAGCCGTCTTGGCCACTGTTTCCATAGTGGAAAGGTTAGAAGCTTCATCATCTAGTGAGACATTGGAGAATGATAATATGCAGAGACGTGAACTTCAGGCATGTTTACTTGCCATTGTCACAAAGGGAGGAATCCTTAATGTCGGTTGTGATGGCAAGTGGTGCGAAAAACTTACAAAACCCGCACTCTATGAACGTCGAAGGTAGGTCTGCGGTGCCAAAGGCGCTGCGTGAAATTATGCGATTTGGCGGCGACGCCTTAAGTTTGGTTTGAAGGCAAATTCAGGATAAATCATTAAGGTAGTTCCCTCCAAGTACGAAGTAGAAAGTGGTAGGCAAGTGGACCTCTAGGTGGGAGAAAATAAAACAATCGCGGAAATGCACAGTGCATATAGAGTGCTTTTGCTCTACGCTGCGGAGAAGTTCGAAAGGCCGGCAGGGAGAATGAGAGATAATGTGAGCGCGGAGAGCGCTAGAGAAGTACGAGTAGAGAGAGCATAGCAGATCAAGTTAGCGACGCAGACAAGATATCGAGCGGTGGGCGGAGCGTGTCGCAACAGGTGGAGCGTGTCAAAGTTTTAGCGCCTAGCGTCTAAGTAACGCTTTCTAGAAGTAGGGAAGTGACGCTACCTCTACACTTGCGTACCTAGCGCTTTCTAGCCATCGTAAAGGCTCATTGAGTGGGTCTGAGCCCGAACTTTGCCTTTGAAATCGTATTGATTATCAGAATAAAGGCAAAACGACCGATAGAATGAGACGTAGTAGAGGTGTGCGATATACTAGTGGAATAAGTCAAAAGGTCAAAAAGTGTTCCTAGTGACGCCATTCCAAAATCAAATAGAAGCGGTCCCCGCTTATTGTGACAGATGTCCGGCGGGGATTTCAACTCAAAGCAGTCCTTCTAGCTTCTCGAACTGCTTACCAAAAACAGATACAATTCTTACCATTTATTCAGTTGATTGCGCGGGAAGGTCATACTGGATCGCAGGGGCACATTTTTGGTGCAAATTGCGAGTCGGTCCGCACCCTCAAGAGGTCCGCCTGCCTCTTCTCTAGGTATGTTTCCCTTCTTCGTCCTTATCTCCTTATCGTGCAATTTTTTGTTTGAATTGGTACAAAGACTGATGGCGTAATAGTGACAGTTAGCATAAGTGAGGAGAGCTTAACTCTAATCACTCATTTACGGCTATCGACGATAAAATGAAAAATGAAAACAAATTTAAAAAATGAAAAAAATTATATATCTCTTCATGCCGTGCTTCTCACAGGGTGGGCCATGGTCGAGAAAGCTTGGCAACTTACACGACTCCTCATATCCAATCATTTCCCACCTGGCCTCCGATTAATGAGACGCTCATTGTTTCCGTAACAAGTATTCCTCAAAAGTGTGCGCGATCCCCCTAGAAAAGGTCCGCCGAGTGAGCAGTGACGCGGATTCTCAACGCTACATAGACTCTGTTCCAAAAAGCTATTCAATTAATTCAACACAATCGTGAACCCCTTATTCTAAAAGTAACATTTTCGAGAAGTAGCCCTGCTTCCTTTAATTGCGAGCGGAACGCTAACGCTCTCGAACCAAGTGCTTTCAGAGCAATGTTTCCCGACTTTGAAGAAGGTGATTCCAAAGTTAAATGAAGAAAACATTGAGAAGTACTGTAAGAATCATAGGACAGGTTGACAGCCATTTGAAGTAATCGAACGAGGGGGGGGGAGGAGCGGGGCGCATATTCGCGACATTGAGACCATGAGGGGTCATACCTAAGGCTGATGGTGGTACGAGATGTATAGAAACGACCTTAGGCAAGACAGGACGATAGATCTCGGAAAAGATGGCGACAGCGGGTACCTTCATAAAGGTTGGCATCACAAGTTATACAAAAATTTTTGGAGGCCTACACGGCTAACGAGTCGGATATAAAAGCAGCGCTGCATGTAAGCGTTATTATAGTGTTATAATAGTATTTGTTTCACCATACAAAATGCAGAGGCGTACGTATAAGGGACGCATAGATTGAGAATTTTCAACATTTCATTTCCTTAAAAATTCCTTACATCTTCTGCGAGGGCTGTTCTTTATGAGAGGCTTGTCGTTTGAGAGGGGTTCCTTTCAACCAAATTCAATCTGAATTTTCCCCTGTTCGCCATGCAAATGCTTTCGAAGCGATATATTTCCACTTGAGAGAGGGAACGCTTTTTTCACATGCCTTCGTTGAATAACCTAAGAAATATGGTATTCCATTGCGTGGATCTGCAATTGAAACAGAGAGTAGTACACAACCAGCTAAAGAATTTAAAAGAACCGGAATTGTAAACAACGACAGGAATTCGTCACACCATACTAAACATCCAAACAACTCAGTTCTGACTTCTGGGTATGCTACGTGCCTGTATAGGAGGTGGACGTTCATTCGCTTGCGTATATGCCGCCGGCCTTCTAAAACTGTTTCACAAATATGTGTTACTTCGTGTACAACTTCAGCGGCGGTACAAACTCTTCTAGCTCTCATTTCTCTGACCTTTTTTAATTTCATCCCTTCGAGAAATCATTTCCTCTCTCAAGTTCTGGCCTAGGTCGGTTCGCTCAGTTAAAGCGGATGACATGTCACTAATTTTTAATTTGCATGCTTACTGTGGGTTACTATCGCCACTCAACCGGAACGATTCTTTAGCGGCTATCGGGGCTTTATCAAACTGTTTTGCACGTGATTATAAAGACACCGCAGCGAGGCATAACCTCGCGGAAAATTTTTTGAGCGTTTCTAGAAAAACAGTGTCGAGCCATAGGGCTTGTAGGCTTCAATCCACTGAGGACAAATTTCTGCATTTCTTTGATTTCCATTTTGTTGGGCTCATATATATGTCTAAACTTATTCAGTAAAGAACAAGTCTTGAAATGCGGCTATTCAACTCTTAAAATGCTGCAGAATTTATTAGAAATGGAAAAGCCTCACTTCTCAAGGAAAACTTTCTAAACTTGTTCTGGCAAGTCTCAGGTCGCGCCCGCTCAGCTAAGATGAGTATCAGATTTCATTGCTCGCGCACGGCCTACAACATGCAACAGAGCATTTCGGAAATGCGCTCCATGTCCTGAAAGCCTTTCTTGGTAAGCGCGCCATAAATAACTAAATAAATAAATATAGTAAATAAGTAAGACATAGCGTTTCGTCTCCAATGATCGAGCTGTCCATTTCTGGGAAGACGAGGATGTAGGCCGGATCTCTGGAAGAACTTTTTCACTTTCGTCGTGTGAACATGCAGGTGCTTAGCACAAAATGTATTCACATATGATCGTCGTGTTGATGTGAAATCTTTCATGTGCAAGCAGTTCCACGCGTCTGATCTTGGCTTTACAGACTGCAATCGCTAGCACTGCAGCTTTTGTGAGCCGATCGATGTAATCCACCCAAGTATCGATAAAGTTGATATTGGTTTCCTCGATTTTTAAAAAAAAATATGAATTCGACCAGTAAAATGGGACATACAGTGGTCACAGTCGAAGAAGAGCGTCTGGATGAAACTTCGTGTGCACCGATTGTCCTCCTTCATGTATTCACCTGAAACATTGATATTACATGACTTTTGATTGTTTTGAATCTTTAAAATTCTGAGGGCTGACCATATCCAGAAGATGTTTTCAGCTAACCTTCAGGGGCGGTAGTAATCTACCCCGAACCAGCTGTTAAGAATGATTGTCAGATATTCGTAGCAGAGAAATAATACTGTTAAAGGCAGCGATTACGATAAAGAGGGAGCGCATCGGGGAAGCATATGCACCACACGAATCAGTTACTTGGCTGCCAGGGAAGCGAGGTGTGGCGCTTTCACGACGAAAGGTGCGCTGGTTGCTGAGCAGGACTTCGAAAGCACTCCGCCCCCAAAAGCGATCCGCCCACTAGTTTAGTTGGTGATTTGGACGAGCTGCGTTGCCAGCAGCGGCACAACTGGAGCAACTCGATTGGAGCGTGGTTTGGCATGGTGTTACCAAACGCGTTGTTCATGCGCCCGCTTTCTGACCTGCCACATGTTTATGAGTGAACACGCTTTTTTTACGCTTTTTCACGGATTTATCCGCCTTTTTCACCACCGACGTACCATTGAGCACCGCTACGTCTCCTCTA